TACACCCTCTAATCCCATCCAGCCTTTCCTTTTTCTTCTTCTATTTTTTTCTTTTCTTCTTCTTGTATTAATTATTATTGTTATTATTATTATTATTAATATTATTATAATTGTTACTGTTAGATATTATGGAGTATTATTTTATTATTTGTAAGTATTTTTTATTATTATTATCGTTATTTATTAATATATTTATTATTTTTTAAATAGTAGTTTTACTGAGGCCCCATAAAAAAATTTGTGTGTGCCCCCATTAATTTTTTTTAATATTCACTTGTGTTAACAAAACTTAAAATATTTTAAAGTTTTACTTGAAAATTAGTTTTAGTAATATATTTATGTATAGTTTATAAAATTAAGATTATTTATTCACTTGGTTATAAAATATACGTCCTAATTTATAATAATAATAATATGAAATTAAAACTATTTTTATCATTTCAAATTATCTTTAAAAAAAAATATAGAGACACTTGCTCGTCTTATTCTCGTTTCAGGTCCTCTCGTTTTCGGGATTCACTACTACCAATGACGGTTGCCAATGGCTGCTGCATGACTAATGCGAAAGACATCAAGTCAAAAAAACTTGAGTAGTAAAACTACTACTAATTTTTTATTAACAATAATAATAAGTGTTGTTTTAAATAATAAGTATAATTTTAATAAATAATAATTAGTTTTATTTTCTTTATAATAGTTATAACAATTAATAACAAATAATAATTATAATAGAAGAAGAAAAAAGAATTCAAAAAAAAGAAGAAATAAAGTAGGCGCCAGGCCGAATATGATCCGAAGGCAAGGCAAAGGAGAAAGAGGAGGAGGAGGAGGAGGAGGAGGAAGAGGAGGAGAAGAAAGAAGAAGGAAGAAGAAGGAAGAAAGAAAGAAAGAAGATGAAGAAAGAAGAAAAAAAACAAGAGGAAGAAGATGGCCGAAAGAATGGTGAAGAAGAAGAAAAGTTAACGGAAAATGGGAATTGACGGAGAGAGTGACGGATTGTCACCCCAGAGTAACTTTTTCTAAATTTTAAGGTACCTCGGAGTACATTTTGAAAAATAATGGGACCTGCGAGTTCTTATCACAAAACTGAGGGTACCCAGCTGCAATTTTTTGAACTCTTTCACTCTATTGTTGCAAAATCTTATTTCCTTGATATTGTGAAAAAATCCATTATACCTCAAAGAAATCTTGATGTGTCAGACTTTAGGAAGAAAACAAACCTTCTGCTCACACTCAAATCAAACAAATTGCTAAAATCTGTCAAACCTCGCCACCTTTTCATATCTTTCTATGAGTAAAAAGAAAAACAAACTTGAATTATTGTATGAATAATAAATGTTGAAATTATAGAAGAAGAATACATAGAGAGATTTTAAAATTGCAATCTAAAAGAAAGAATTATCGCGTAGAAAATCTGCGGTCAATTGTTTTCAACAGGAGATCCGTTGGTGCATCGTATATAATTTATTTTCGCTGGTTTACTTGGATATTACGTGGCGTGCTGACATGTTTAAATTTTGCCACATAGACATGCCAAATGTCAAATTTCTTTGAATCCGAGTCTCCTTTATTATATGAAAGGATTTTTTTCTATTATTACGTGGCTTGCTGACGTGTTCCATTTTTTGCCAAATAGACGTGCCAAATGTCACATTCTCGTGCATCCGAGTCTCCTTTATTATATTAAAGGATAAAAGATTAAGGATTGCTTTATTATTTAGCACGCATATACATACATATATATACTAGTATCACACCCGTGCGTTACACGGGTCATAGTTATGCTATTAAATTAAGATCATTTTTAGGAATATAAATTGGTATATAATGGAATATAGAAATTTCATTATTTTAAAGTACAAAAGTAAAATGATTTACAAATTTCGAAAGACTTATTTATAAACTACATCACTCTTATAATTCGTGTGAGCATTTACTTCGTTGTATATCAGAATCTTCAAGTCATTGTAATTTATTACTCTTGAAAGTGCAACAAACACTTGCCCATTGCTAAATACTGGTTTTCGTAATAACAATAATTCAAAATGTTTCAGATATTGTCCCTGACAATAATTCAATAATTTGACTTATTTAAATAATAATTCAACATATTAATTTATCTATTTCGGAATTTGTATTTTTTTAGTTTTATTTTCGTATTTAAATGGTACCACTTACTTACCCTATGGTATTTATTTTCTATTTATTTTAGATCACTTATGATTTTATACTTATCCATGCTTGTAAATTATAGAATTAATAGTATTAATTTTTGAATACTTACCATTGTTACATGTTTCCATGCTTATAGTATTAATACTCACTAGTACAAAAATGACCAAATAAATCGCCTCATTTGCATCGTAAAGCTAAACAAACGATGCAAATGTCAAAAAAAATTCGCGTATCGCTTAGCTTTTGGATCGGTTATCCGTAATAACCGATTCAAATACTTTTTGCATCGGTTATTACGGATAACCGATTTAAAAGCTTACCATCTTTTGGATCGGTTATTACTAATAACCGATTTAAATACCTTTTGAATCGGTTATTAGTAATAACCGATCCAAAAGAGTGTGATAAAATTAGCCAACCCTACCTTATCCTTAGCGTTTTTGAAAAAAAAACCTCCAAATCGCCGCCTTCGTCTTCGTCGTGCTCTCGTCGTTCTCTCCGTCGTCTTCAACTCCCCACCACGCTGTAGCCTTTCTCTGTCGAGTTCTCTCCGTCGTCTTCAACTCCCAGAACGACGTGCTCTCGTCGTTCTCTCCGGTCTAATTGCGCCACCCTCGTCCACCTCACCTCGATGTTCGCCGTTGTTAGTGTCGTTGTCTCCAAGGGAACGGCGACAACGTCGACGACCACCTCGCCGAGCCTCCGTCGGCAAGCCGTCGCCAAGCCGTAGCCAAGCCGCCGTCGCCAACCCGCCGTCGCCGACCCGCCGTCGCCAAGCCGTCGTCCCTTCCTTAAGGTATTTTTTTAGCTTTAAATATTTAATTATACTATTATTTGTTTATATATTTTTTCATTAAGTTAATATTTAATTTACTATATATGTTTTGTGTACATGTTTAAGTTGAAATGTTTCATTGTGATATACATTGTTTTTGAAAAATAGATTGTTTAATTATTTTGTGTTTGATTCTACATGTTCTGAGACGTTATAATATAGAAATAACATATATTGACCGACCTAGATACCCGTTTAAAATTTACTCATTAGGAGTAAATTTTAAATAGCTCCCAGTTTGGAGCTGTTCTTGAAATGCTTCTCTCACTTAGGTAGTACATGTATTTCTTTCTCTTTGTTCCATCATTTTTTGGTTTGACGTTTCCTAAATGTGTTCTTCGAGTGCATATGTAATTACGTTACATCGTGCACTTGGAGAACCAATGGGTTGAATCGGTTGTTTGATAATAACCGATGCAAAAAGCCAACTTTTAGAACTGGCGGTAATATTGGTAAAGGGTTTTTGCATCGGTTTTTGCAACCGATGCAAAAAGTATCGAAGTATTTGCATCGCTAGCTTTTGCATCGGTTGATAACCGATTTAAAAGGGTCCAAATAACCGATTTAAAAAGTCATTTTTGTACTAGTGACTATTAATTTATAATTTTTTTATTTTTGCATTTAAATGGTACAATTTACTTTATGTATCATATTTATCTTTAAATTTATTTTACAACACTTACCATTTTAACATGTTTTCATGCTTGTAAATTGTAGTTTTTTTTATAGTAAAAATTTGCAGTTTTCTATTTTATTTTTGTATTTAAATGGTATCATTTACTTACCGTACCATATTTATTCTCTATTATAAGTTAGAACACTTACAGTTTTGATATTTATTTTATTTTCTAATTTATTTAGAACACTTACCTAATTTATTTTAGAACACATACCATTTATTTTATTTTTGTGTTTAAATGGTGCCATTTGCTTATCGTGGTGACATACTGTATTGTATTTATTTTCTAATTTTCTAATTAGAACACTTACCTTTTTCAAAACATTTTCATGTTTATAAATTATAGTATTAATATTAATTTTGCAGTTTTTAATTTTATAGTATTTAATTACTTACCAAACCACATTATTTTCTAATTGATTTTAGAACACTTATCATTTTTAGATGTATTTTATTTTCTCTTTTATTTTAGAACACTTACCCAATTTATTTTATAACACTTACCATTTATTTTATTTTCGTTTTTAAATGGTTCCAATTGCTTACCGTACCATACCTATTTATTTTTCTAATTTTCTAATTAGAACACGTGTCATTTCAAAATGTTTCCATGCTTGTAAATTATATTATTAATATTAATTTGTAGTTTTTTATTTTATTCTTGTATTTAAATGTTATCATTTACTTACCGTACCATATATATTTTCTAATCTATTTTAGAAAACTTACCATTTTTACACGTCCGTGCTTGTAAATTGTTATAAATAATTAATTTGTAGTTTTTGAAATAAATCATTTTAATCCCGCTCATACTTTATTAATTAAAAGTTTTTTAATTTTATTTTAATATTTAAATGGTAGTGTATTTTATTTTCACACTTTAATTCCCCAATGGTTCACTACTATTTAAATTAATTTAATTTAAATATTTAAACGGTGTAACATTTAAATAAAAATGAAAACATAAAAATAGAAGGAAAAGAATAAGGCCAAATAATTAAACTATCATTTATGTTGTCAATACTTTCCATATATGAGTCTCATGTTTGGGCAGAAAAACATTCACCTCTTTTTAAATAAAGTATAGATATATATATATCTGGTCCGGCAGCCACTCGAAGAAGAAGAATCAATCAAGCAATAGCTGCATAACCCGCATTTTCCCATATAAACCGTACCACGTCGTTTCTTGAAGGGTTTAAAAAAATTCCTTTGGGCTTTGACCCAGGCACCCAGCCCAACACTCCACAAAGCCCAATTTCCAAAAAAAATTACGGAATACTTTAATTCCATTGATTTATTCGGCTGCCACAGAGCCCTGATCCAAACGAAGAAAGTACGAAACCAGAAGGTCACGATCGAAACTTCTCTTCTTCATCGGAGCTCCTCTTCAGTTCTTCACAGGATCAATTTCTTCCATTTTGAGCTCTTCTTCTGAGCTTCTTCAGCTAATTTTCAGATCTTCTCTCATTGTCTAGGTATATGTAAATTTTAATTATCTAATTTCGAGATTTTTTCTTAATATTTGAAATTCTGAATATTGTTAAATTATGTTTTGAATTTTGAATATTTATTTTGTTCCGTGGACAGTAGTTCCAGTGTATTTGTTGATATTTAAATGTTTGATAAATAGTAATGTAATTTCAACTTCTAGAGATTAAGATATATGAAAGTGTTGCTTTAGGGTTATTGATTTTTTATTTTGTTACTTTCTTATTGAATCAGGAAATTTTCATACTTTATTATTGCTACTTTGTTGCTTTAGGGTTATTGTATTTTGTTACACACTTGATCAAAAGTTTGCATATAGAAAAAAATTTCTACGGCCTCAAAGAACTTTTACTCTTTTTTTTGACAGAAGAACTTTACTCTTTTGCACAAATAGAAGGTACGTTTAGTTTCACTTTGTCAATTAAGATAGTTATTATTATGAATTTTGTTTAGTTATTAAATGAATTTTTGCCCCCCCCCATGAAATCTTCCTTGGCTCCGCCACTGTGTGTGTGTCTATACACACACACACACACAGATATATATATATATATATATATATATATATATATATATATATATATATATATGGGATTGACTCCAGTGAGATGACATCTTATGGTAAGATGACATGCTTCAATGAGATGACACAACACACAACACTGCCAATGGAAAGCTCACCAACTGCCAATGCAAAGCTCACCAACTACCAATGCAAAGCTCACCAACTGTCAATGCAAAGCTCACCACATTTTTTAAATAAAAAAAGTTAAAAAAATAACACCACCACTCAACCACCACTCAACCACCGCTCAACCACCG